AAGTGTGTTCCCACAAAATAACTTCCTGAGATTTGACTGGGATCGGTTAGAATGTGCGGGTGAGTTGGGAAGTGTGTTCCCACAAAATAACTTCCCGAGATTTTGACTGGGATCAGTTAGAATGTGTAGATGAGTTGGGAAGTGTGTTCTCACAGTGTTCTTTGATCTCTTCAATCCAGGTTTTATATTTTTCCTCATATAAATCTTGTACATATTTTGTTAGTTATAGCTAAGTATTTCATTGTTGTAGGTACTAATGTAAATGGCTTTGTTTTTACCTTCCAATTCCACTTGTTCATTGTTCATATATAGAAAAGAAAATGACTTCTGTATATTAACCCTGTATTCTGCTATAATCATTTATTAATTTCAGGAGGCTTTTATTGAAATTCTTTCAGATTTTCTACATAGACCATCATGTCACCAGTGAGCAAATTTTTATTTTTCCCTCCCAATGTGTATATCTGTCATTTCATTTCCTTTTCTTATTTTATTCACTAGGATTTCCAGTATGATGTGAAAAGGAAAGGTGGAAGGAGTCTTTCTTTCTTTGTTTCTGATCTTAGCGGGAAAGCTTCAAAATTATCACCACTATGTAGAATATTAGCTGTTGGGCTTTTGTAGACATCATTAATCTAATTGAGGAAGTTCCCCCCTGTGTTTCTAGTTTACTCTAAAAATTTTAGAGTCTAGAGATTTTATCATGAATGAGTGTTGAATTTTGTACAATGCTTTTTTACCTCTATTGAGATGATTAAGTGATTTTTCTCCTTTAGTCTACTGAAGTGACAGGTTACATTAATTGATTTTCAAATGCTGAGCCAGCCTTGCGTACTTAGAACAAGTCCCCTTTAACTGTGGTGCAAAATTCTTTTTATACATTTTTGGATTTGATTTATTACTGTTTTGCTGAAGATTAGTATTAGGGTAGTGTTATCTTCATAGAATGAGTTAGAAAGTATTTTTCTCTGTTCCTATTTTCTGGAATAAATTGTAGAGACTTGGTAAATTTCTTCCTTAAGATGTTTGGTAGAATTTTCCAGCAGACCTATCTGGGCCTGGAAAGCTCTGTTTAGAAAGTAATTAATTATTAATTCGATTTCTTTAATAGATGTAGGCCTCTTCGTATTGTCTATTTCTTCTTGTTGAGTGTGACAGATTATGTCTTTCAAGGAATTGGTCCATTTCATCCCGGCTGTCAAAGTTGTGGGCACAGGGTTGCTCATAACATTCCTTCATTATTCTTTTAATCTCTCTAGGATAGTGATATCTCCTCTTTAACTCCTGATATTAGTAATTTGTATCTTCTCTCTTTTCTCTTACTAAGCCTGGTTAGAGGCTTAACAATTTTCTTGATCCTTTCAAAGAGTCAGGTTTTTCTTAAACTCTTGTCTATTGATTCCTTATTTTCAATTTCATTGTTTCTGCTGTAATTTTCATTATTATTTTTCTTCAGGTTATTTTGAGTTTAACTTGCTCTTCTTTTACTATTTTTCTAAGATGGAAACTTAGATTGTTGATCTTAGATCTTTCTTCTTTTCTAAGATATGCATTCACTGCTATACATTTCACCCAGAGCGCTGCTTTGCTATATCTGGCAAAGATTCAATTTTAATTTTTTTAGTTCAAAATATTTTTAAAGTTTTCTTAAGATTTATTTTTGATTGATTCATTATTTAGAAGTTTGTAAAAGTTTAGTGTTTAATCTCTGAGTATTTTTGGATTTTTCAAGCTGCCTTTTTGTCATTGATTTCTAGTTCATTCCATTGTGGTCTGAGAGCAGATATGATATGATTTCTGTGGGGACAGGCTTGAAAAATTATAATGGAGAAAAAGCTGAGAAGCACTGTAGTAAGGAGTTCAA